CTCCATTCTGTCTGCACTTCTTATTGAAAATAAAGTATGACCTAACAACAGGTAACTTCTTCCAAGCAGCTATGTGAGGCACATTTAAGCACATCAGTGACGATCACTTGCCCAGTGACTCTCTAACATGATAAAACCATCACCATTCATGTAGTTTTCATATCACTGCAATGACCACAACTGAAAAATACTTGATGCACGCAAACTTCAACATTACTTTCACTAAGATATGCCGTTTTCTTCATGGCATTATTTTGTTGGCATAAAGAAGACATTTAGGGGAAAAAAAAAACATCTCAATAATAATATTTGCAAAAAAAATATTTTTAGTCATGTGCATACACAAATGTTCCACATTCTTGTGACACATTCTCTGATTGCCCCATATTTTTAGTCACATTTGTAATTTTCAAAGGAAAACTTCTGGAATTTAAAAGGAGAAAAAAAAGTTGAGTAGACAAAACTGTTAGCACTATGTACGTGTGAGAGCAGAAAAAAGCTAAATGAGAGGTGCGAAAGATAAAATAAGCAATGCAGGCAGTTTCACTGCTGCTTTAATTATAGTTTTACAAGAGGTTTGACTTTTCCTAATGGCACTGGAAGCGAGGTGATATGGGAGATTGTGTATGTGTGTGGGAGGAGGGTGAGAAAGTCATTGTTAAGAAGGGGATTTACAAGACTCTAGGCCTCCCAGGCTTTTCCCAGTAGCGAGCTTCCTTGTGTTTTGCGGCTAACCATACGTGTCCACAGGCATGGAGGAAATACACCCAAAAAGAAAGGACAAGCTTTATAGGGTATGTCTGAAAAATGCACATCCAGTATGTATAGTCTATGACTGCTTTCAGTGCACAATTTAAAAAGTCATTGCATAAGACTACTATTTAAAAAATTGGGTCAGTAAGCTTTTTGAAAAAGTCTCTTAAGCTCATCAAGGTTTTTAACACGGATCAATTCAGTGCATCCTTGCTGAATGAAAGATTTAAACTGATACACATCATTTTAATGGATCCTTGCTGAATATTCATTTCTTTCAAGAAAATAAAGACCCCAAACTTCTGAATTGTAGGGAACTGTATATACATGTGGGAAAAATAAGGCCATATAAAAATCATATTGGGATGAACTGATTAGATCATTTGGCTTACAGTACATTTAAAATAATAACAAATAATAACAGAAATGATATATATATGCATTCTGTCCATGAGGATAATCTAACATAAGTAAAACATATTTTATTAAAATGGAGCCTGGAATTTTTCACTTCTCTTTTCTCAACGTTTACAGAACAAACTGAAAATGTCAGCTCTGTGCTCCTCACACCTGTGGACCTGTACAGTAAAACTGAGGAACCTGAGCAGTGGTGTATCATGCCATCTCTGTGTGTCTTATCACAGACAGCACTGATCAAAGCAGCAACTTTTCTTCCAAAGCTCTCCACAGGCCTTTCAGACTCAAAACATTTAGACAGATCTAGCAAAGTTCAGCCACAGGAACCAAGCTTCAGTCCTCCTGGCACGCTTCCTGAATTTTAAATAGTGTTCTAGATTCCAGGAAGAAGTAGCTGTGATGTTCCTCGTACTGCCTCAGGTCACGACCTCTGAACATTACTTACACGTGAGACAGTTGGGGTTACTTTAATGAAAAGCTGTCTATGGTGTCAGAGTTGCTGTGGAAGGTCTGCCATTGATGGAGTCCTATTGCGTGCCTCTGTCACTCTGTGACCTTTTAGGCCTTGTGAAGAATAATAAAGGCTTAAAAAAAAAAAATCAATGTCTGCAACTCAGTAAACAGACCGAAGATAAAACCGTGAATGAGGTGAGTCCTTTTATTCTTTGGGAATCAAATCTATTAACACTTGATACACCTCCCAATACAGTATTAATGAGTACAAGACACAAGATGAATGAGGCGCACCTGCAGAACCACAACAAATGCAGCAGTGCCAATTATTCATACAACATTCCAAGAAACTGCATGCATATGGACCATTTTCAAATTATAAAACACTGAGATTTATAAGGCAAAAAGAAAAGCCACTGATACAATGAAAGCATGAGAGAACTGCTGAAAGAAAATATCTGAAGATATCAACCTTAAAAGACAAACATATACTTATTCATTTTAAATATTTATACATTTATATTAATTAAAACCATAATAGCTGAACTATATATATATATATATATATATACAGTTGTGCTCATAAGCTTTCATCCCCCTTG